CGGACATCCTGAGACTGTGAGGCGTTTGTTAGCGGAAACAACGGACTAACGCAAAAGATGTCCTACCTCAGACATCTTGTTACAATTATCACACCTCTCCGCATTCATCGCGCAGCAAGAATGAACATGGGGATTAATGTCATACCACGCCACTCGCCTACAGCTCCTGGTAGTGAGAAATTCCAACATGGGGAGAACACCGACGTGAGGGTCAAGTTCGGGGTCCGCCAGAAATGGTTTCTTCTGCCAAAGCACGTATGAAAAATACGGATCCCCATCACGACCTCCCCGTCCACTTTCTTGCAGGTAGAACATGGCAGCGCGCGGATCAACGTGTACCACCACCCTGACATGCGGATAATCCACACCCGCTCCAAATGCCTGAGTGCAACACAGCCAGCGGTGCCCAGGTTCTTTGCCCTTGCACCACGCATCCACAACGTCAGCTTTTAGCGCATTGTTCACCACTGGATCGCCTTGAACCATCTCTGCATGGTAGGATGCAAGACCAAGCTTAGCAGCAAAGGCATTGAGCTTCGTGATAGAGGTAAAATAAATTAGGCCGCGAGACTTCTCATCCAGAGAATGAGTGTTGCGGATGCACATCAGTTCTGCAACCATGTTCGGATCAGGTTGGAAAGAATCTGTCTGCGGTTCTGCCGGTGGAAGTGCGGGCTTCACATATCTTACCCGGTAGCGTACGTTTGTGCGTTCTATGCACACGCGAATGACGTGAACATGAGCGAGGTCGATGCCTAACCTCTCACAAATGAGGCTTTCCGATTGCGGAAAAATAGTCGCAGAGAGGATGGTGATAGGTTTGCACAGGCGCATCAGGTTCGAGAGAAGATCCATGCATTGACGGAACTTTTGGTGGGCATACAGAAGGTGGCCTTCATCCACGAATATTCGCTTCAGTCGATACTTGTATGACTCTGCCCAGACCGAAAAATCATTCCTGACTGCCACGTCGATGGATACCAGCACAATCTGCATCCGAGAGCCATCCAGGTGAGCATTCCAGAGGTCTCCTGCTAAACGAGTCTGTCCTAGCCGACGCTTGAGGTCATTGGTGAGGGCGACGAGAGGACTGACGACAATATACAGATGGTCAGGAGACTGCATCGCAGCACCAAAAAATGCGAGACTCTTTCCACTGCCAGTCGGTAGAATAGCCAAGACATGTTTCGATCCCAATGATGACTGCACGAGCTCTGCCTGCTCAGGAATGGTCCATCGAAGCAGCTGAGAACTGGGAAGGATAGACAACAGCGTCTGAGATAGACCCTCGTGCACGACAAGCGGCCGTGAGCGATTCGTGTGCGATTGGATGACCTGCATTTGAGAAGTGGATTGCAGAGAAGGACGAAGCTCTTTCAGCAGGTGCACCAATATCCCTGCAATTCTCCTATCCATAATATCTGTGATCCAAGTCTTCAGATCGCCTTTAAGCTGACCCATCTCCGTGGCCAGATGTCGCTTCAACGGAATAACCAGATCCGTCAGACGCTGCTCCTGGTTGTTCTCAGGCAAGGCATCCAAGGTGGACGCATAGGAAGGAGGGAGCAGAGACAGTTTCACATGGTAACACACCGAAACCAGCTGCATGGCAGCAACCGCAGTGTGAGAAATCTGAGGGATCGCATCGTTAGATTGTAGACCATAATGCTTCTCCGCCACCTTCACCCCATGGTTGAATTGAGAGTGTATAATATGCAGATCTTCGTCGTCCTCGTCGGGTTGCCCAAAATCAACCTTGGCAATGTTGACCAGGATGCTGCACATCACTTGTCGAAAGTCACGGTGCCCGAGAGGAATACGAATGATCCGTTCAGTGTGATAGGACAATGTCTGCGATTGCTTGGTGCTGTTCATCGGCTTCCCACTGACAACGAACATGTATTCCTTGTAGGCCTTGGCTTGTTCCACAGACATGATTTCTGCCGCCAACTCTGTACAGGCAGGATAGATGACACCGAATAGGAGCATAAGTAATTTGGTGACCGCATGCGCGGGAATGCGGGCAACGACTGCACCATAGCCAACGTTATGCTGTGTTTTCGAATACATCGTGATGATGGTGCCCAGCACATTGAGAAAAAAGAAATTACGCATTCCTTGCTCTCCCACCGCAAAACGCAAAGACTCTGCCTCCGTTCTCCGAGGACATCCACCAAATGTGCAAAACGAGGCGAATAGCAGTTGCGAGACAAGGGCATCGACCTTGAAAAACCAACCCCACATTGCCCCTAAACACATTAGAATATACTGCACACAGCAAGTTGATTGGTCTCACTTCTGTTAAAAACGAGCTC